GATAAGAAAGCCTGGACAAGAATAAGCAAGTGGCGCCATCTGTTGGCGAAACCAGAACTAAAACATAATTTCTCTAAAAGCCGAAGGCAAATTTGGATTGGAATTAGGATCGTTAACTAGAACAGAAAGATTTTTATGAATGTGAAATGCCTCTAGAAAATCCAGTTCTCCAATGGAAGATGTTTTTTGAATAATTTTGGCAGCAGAAAAATTGAAAGTGTGATTTTCGGACCAACAATGTTGAGCAACAGAAGACTTCTGTGTTTCCTTTTTTCTAACATATGCCTCATGTTCTTTGACGCGAAATTTTAAGGCTCTCTTAGTTTGGCCAATGTAAATTAAACCACACTGGCAAGGAATCCTATAAATACCCCAGGAATTCATATCCGGAATGGGGTCCTTGAGTATAGAAGTTGGAATTTTATTGATGGGAGAAGTAAACAACCCGAAAGTTAAATTTCTGCAAAATATGTGCAACTTTATAGCTAATTGATGGAAAGAAGGGAATGACAACAGAATTTTTATAATCTCCTAAAATAAGAGTGTGGCTTTTAGTGTGTTGAGATGAGAATTTTTTAACTGCTTGATTAATAATGTTGGGTGAAAAGCCCCTGTCAATAGCTATTGCTTTTAAATAATTTAGTTCTTCATCAAGGGCTAGTTTGGAGGAGCAAACTTGAAGAGCACGGAAAACATAGGAATAAAATGAAGCTAACTTTTGTTTAGTCGGATGACATGATTTAAAGTGTGGTGGAAGGCAAACCGATGAAGGTTTACGGTAAACTGTAGTACTGAAGTTGGATGTGTTACGTGTGACCAGAATGTCGAGAAACGGAAGAGAATTGCAAGTCTCAAGTTCAAAAGTGAACTGAATAGCAGGATCAATAGAATTCATTGTTGAAAGAACTTTATTTAAATCATCTTTATTACCTTCAAACAGGGTAAAAGTATCGTCTACGTAGCGGAACCATGCCGGGAAGTTTAAAGTTTCAAACAATTTTGATTCATAATAATGCATGTAGATATCAGCCAGGATGGGACTGAGGGGGCTTCCCATGGCTAATCCCTCAGTTTGCTTGTAATATTTATTTTGGAAAACAAAATGTGTTTGTTTCAAACAGAGTTGAGTGAGAGAAATTAGCTCATCAATTTCGATGCAAGAGAAATGAAATTCGCGAAGTCTGGTTTCTAGACATCTTAATGCACCCTCCACTGGGACATTGGTGAATAATGATTTTACATCAAAAGAAACCATGAGTAAATTACTAGGAGAAATGTTTTTAACCTTTTTTACAAACTCTATTGAATTTTTTATGGTGTAAATGTTATTGTCTAATAGAGTGGAAAATCTAGAAACTAAATATTTAGCTAATGGATACGAGGCAGTACCTAAATTTGATACAATAGGGCGGAAAGGAATACCACTTTTATGAATTTTGGGAAGAGCATATAATCTGGCACAATTCGCAACAGATGGGATAAGCGAATGTTTTAAGTTGCTTGAAATGATTTGCGAAGATTTGATCGCAGTTTTTATTTTGGATAAGTCCGAAGGTGAAGGATCTTTAGGGATCGGATTATATGGTCCTTCGTTTAAGAGTTTAGTGACACCATCGATGTAAGTGTTCTTATCCATGACGACTATCTGGCCACCTTTGTCGGCCTTTGAAATGATAATATCCGGGTTAGAATGAATTCTCGCGCATTGTAGCTCTTTCTCTCGCAGTTAGATTTGGTTTCAAAGGTTTATTATTGAATTTCACATTATGAGCGATAAGATGCCTAATCATTTCTTTCTGTGAATCTGAAACTTTACTGAACTTGAAAGCTTTTTCGATAGGAGCCAAAATCTTTGGAATCGAGGGTTTACAGGTTTGTGAGAAGTTAAAATTATATTTTAGAATTCTCTCTTGTTCTTCTGAAAGACTAACATTAGAAATATTAACTATTGGCTTGATGTTTACAATGGGAAGATTTTTTGAACTACGTGAACTGGAAGACTGTAAAAGAAGTTTTTCGAATTTAACTGCAAGGGTCTTTTTATGACGGTTAACTGCATTCTCCGTTCTAGACCAAGACTTTTGTTCAAGGGCAGTGAATTTTGGATATGATTTAGCGAGTTCCAGATGAAGCTTATAGAGTTCATGTTCAATTTTGGACAATTGTTGACGTGTATCCCTTATCATGGACCGAAGTGAGGCAAGTTTGCAATTTAACAGAATTCTTGAAACGCGACTCGAAGGTTTTTGATTAGATTTGATTTGAATAAAATTGGGGATCAATTTTTTACATTTACATTTAAGTAAAAAGTCAAGATGATTCAGGAATTTTTGCCGTTTCAGGCGTAATTTAGTGAATTACGCCTAAATTACACCTGAAACGGCAAAAATTCCTGAATCATCTTGACTTTTTCCTTAAATGTAAAAGTAAAAAATTGATCCCCAATTTTATTCAAATCAAATCTAATCAAAAACCTTCGAGTCGCGTTTCAAGAATTCTGTTAAATTGCAAACTTGCCTCACTTCGGTCCATGATAAGGGATACACGTCAACAATTGTCCAAAATTGAACATGAACTCTATAAGCTTCATCTGGAACTCGCTAAAACATATCCAAACTTCACTGCCCTTGAACAAAAGTCTTGGTCTAGAACGGAGAATGCAGTTAACCGTCATAAAAACACCCTTGCAGTTAAATTCGAAAAACTTCTTTTACAGTCTTCCAGTTCACGTAGTTCAAAAAATCTTCCCATTGTAAACATCAAGCCAATAGTTAATATTTCTAATGTTAGTCTTTCAGAAGAACAAGAGAGAATTCTAAAATATAATTTTAACTTCTCACAAACCTGTAAACCCTCGATTCCAAAGATTTTGGCTCCTATCGAAAAAGCTTTCAAGTTCAGTAAAGTTTCAGATTCACAGAAAGAAATGATTAGGCATCTTATCGCTCATAATGTGAAATTAAATAATAAAAATTTGAAACCAAATCTAACTACGAGAGAAAGAGCTACAATGCGCGAGATTCATTCTAAGCCGGATATTGTCATTTCAAAGGCCGACAAAGGTGGCCAGATAGTCGTCATGGATAAGAACACTTACATCGATGGTGTCACTAAACTCTTAAACGAAGGACCATATAATCCGATCCCTAAAGATCCTTCACCTTCGGACTTATCCAAAATAAAAACTGCGATCAAATCTTCGCAAATCATTTCAAGCAACTTAAAACATTCGCTTATCCCATCTGTTGCGAATGGTGCCAGGTTATATGCTCTTCCCAAAATTCATAAAAGTGGTATTCCTTTCCGCCCTATTGTATCAAATTTAGGTACTGCCTCGTATCCATTAGCTAAATATTTAGTTTCTAGATTTTCCAATCTATTAGACAATAACATTTACACCATAAAAAATTCAATAGAGTGTGTAAAAAAGAAAAAAGGTTTAAAAACATTTCTCCTCGTAATTTACTCATGGTTTCTTTTGATGTAAAATCATTATTCACCAATGTCCCAGTGGAGGGTGCATTAAGATGTCTAGAAACCAGACTTCGCGAATTTCATTTCTCTTGCATCGAAATTGATGAGCTAATTTCTCTCACTCAACTCTGTTTGAAACAACACATTTTGCTTTCCAAAATAAATATTACAAAACAAACTGAGGGATTACCCATGGGAAGCCCCCTCAGTCCCATCCTGGCTGATATCTACATGCATTATTATGAATCAAAATTGTTTGAAACTTTAAACTTCCCGGCATGGTTCCGCTACGTAGACGATACTTTTACCCTGTTTGAAGGTAATAAAGATGATTTAAATAGAGTTCTTTCAACAATGAATTCTATTGATCCTGCTATTCAGTTCACTTTTGAACTTGAGACTTGCAATTCTCTTCCGTTTCTCGACATTCTGGTCACACGTAACACATCCAACTTCAGTACTACAGTTTACCTGTAAACCTTCATCGGTTTGCCTTCCACCACACTTTAAATCATGTCATCCGACTAAACAAAAGTTAGCTTCATTTTATTCCTATGTTTTCCGTGCTCTTCAAGTTTGCTCCTCCAAACTAGCCCTTGATGAAGAACTAAATTATTTAAAAGCAATAGCTATTGACAGGGGCTTTTCACCCAACATTATTAATCAAGCAGTTAAAAAATTCTCATCTCAACACACTAAAAGCCACACTCTTATTTTAGGAGATTATAAAAATTCTGTTGTCATTCCCTTCTTTCCATCAATTAGCTATAAAGTTGCACATATTTTGCAGAGAAATTTAACTTTCGGGTTGTTTTACTCTCCCATCAATAAAATTCCAACTTCTATACTCAAGGACCCCATTCCGGATATGAATTCCTGGGGTATTTATAGGATTCCTTGCCAGTGCGGTTTAATTTACATTGGCCAAACTAAGAGAGCCTTAAAATTTCGTGTCAAAGAACATGAGGCATATGTTAGAAAAAAGGAAACACAGAAGTCTTCTGTTGCTCAACATTGTTGGTCCGAAAATCACACTTTCAATTTTTCTGCTACCAAAATTATTCAAAAAACATCTTCCATTGGAGAACTGGATTTTCTAGAGGCATTTCACATTCATAAAAATCTTTCTGTTCTAGTTAACGATCCTAATTCCAATCCAAATTTGCCTTCGGCTTTTAGAGAAATTATGTTTTAGATATGGTTTCGCCAACAGATGGCGCCACTTGCTTATTCTTGTCCAGGCTTTCTTATCTTATCTAAACATTATTTCCTATCTTGTTCATTTGCGGTTTTGCAGCTGAAGATGATGGTTCGGTAAAACCATCGAAACTAGTCCTGTGAAAATTTTGTAAATTAACGCTGATTTTTGTTGTTTGACTTCTGAATTAGTATTTATTCGGCGTGTTATTGTGTCTTAATTATATTTATTTGGTCCCTAAAATATTGTTGTAAGGAGGTTTCACTGTATATGTAAAAATAATACAATATAAATTCATTCACAATATGTAAATAAATGCATTATATACCTGTAAATAAATTTCCCAAGCATCCATATAACAGCAAGTAGAAAATATATTCCAATAGCAATTAAAATGGCTAAATAAAACAATCAAATATTAATATTTTATAATTAAAAGTTTTTATAAGAAGCATCATTAAATATATTTGATACAGAAGGTTACAGTAATTAATATCAAATGTAATATAAAACTGTTTTATTTCCTATTACAATTAAAGCCATTTCTGAATGCTCAGTAAAAGCAAAAGCAAAAATAAAGTTTGTTGTTAGTTATGCATGCAGAAGAATAAAAATCCATTGCAATAGATACTCAGAAATTTTAGCTTCCCAATTTCATTTCATCAAAAACTTCCATACATAATACAGTTATATAAACATGATTTTCCTATTCTACTCTGATTAACAAATACTATTTCCTTTAAAATTAATACAATTATTTTTTCTGTATGTAATATACAATATATGAAAATATCCATATTTCACTATCTGAAAATCCTTTTACAAAATTTGGAAATTTTTATTTTAATGACATATTACATTCTCATTTAATCATAAAAAATTTTTATTCAACATAAAGCACAATACAATAAACTGTGTTTATCCTGACATTAAAAAAATATTAAAGGTAACTAAAATTAAAATTTTTGAAGGACCACAGAAAAAAGAAAATTGTTAGTTTTGAATGCAAAATTTAGTTTAATACGTAAAAAGTACCACCACATTTACATCTTTAAATTAATTAAAATGGAGTTGTTGAAATAAAATATTAAGAAAAATAAAAAAAATGCAAAATTATTTAAAAAGTATATGTAATATAAAGTTCGAACTTTAATCTGTAAAGTATTCTTTTTAAAGTGGTTATTTCCCTTTTCTGTTCTAAAAATAGTAAAATGCTGGTAACAAATCTTCCTGAAGTACATAATTCAAAAAATAATGATCACATGATTCTCATAAAATCGCACATGAATTTTATAAAATGCAGATGGCACTTGTACATAACATATTTTACCAATAGAAACTGAAGCCTTTTACTTTACAGTAATTTAACAAGGGGAAAGAAATTACAGAATTCATAGGTATACAGCTCCCATATTTACATCATCAAAAAAGATTGGCAATTGCATCAACTATAGGGGTTCTGCAAAAAGGTTAGAAGTCAAAGGAAATGCCAATGAATATCACATTTTGTACTGTCTTCTATGATAATATCAATTGTAATTAAAAAATATGATTACGTGACTGATCTTTAATTAATCCTAAAAAAGGAAAGTTATATTAAAATTATCGATACCCTTAGGTTTAGTATAAGCTTTCTTATCCTTGGTACTTCTATGTTTATATAACAGTTGTGTTTATTTTATTGCTTAAATACACAGTACAACATCTCATGCATACTTTCGATCAAATGCTCTAAAATTTTACTACGATTTTCATTCTTGTTTGCTATTTAATTTTCAGAGGGATATGTAATTAATTATTTTAATTGGCGGTAAGATTTTAATCCGCAAGCTCCAAAGTTTTGCTCAGTCAGTTCTTTTAATAGTTCTTCCTCAGGGACTGATATCCGATCTATTTTCGAAATGAAACCTCTGAACGTGTTTAATTGCTCATGTTTGTCCTTTTTAGGAGAGAGGAGGATTGTGCATCAGATATCTCGAAGAGCAGGGATCCTGAACGGACCTTTTTTATGTACTTTGGCTCACCAGCTCAGGCCACAATATGTTTATAGACAAGAAATGGTGATAGATTTTCTAGTTGACTAGTAATGACTATGAACTTAGGACATTTGCTCATGCTAACTATGGCAGAAATGCATGTTTGTTTAGCAGTTCCAGAATTTTTTGTTTTCATGTGATTGGGGGAAGAAATTAAAGTTGCCAAATTGTTAAAAGAAAAGATTCTGGCCTGAACACCGCCACCCACTATGGAGCACAACAAGGAAATACAGATTCCTGTGTTAGGGCTAGCTGGGCCTATACACAGACTGAAGCCCCACAGTCGGCTTTCCCAAAAGCAGGAACTTCCGAAAGCTTACCCCCAAGCCACTGACCTGTAGGACTAGCGACCAGCTAACTGACACAAATGGGGACAGCAGAATACCTTCCATTTGGGCAGAAGCAGAGGCCAAAGCAGCATGTTGGAGACAATACCTTACTGCTTAACTGCTAGGATCCTCTTTTCCTGCCATATGGGTGTCCATGTACGGCAGATGTGCAGGTAGTTTTCTTACCATGGTGAAATAGAAATAAAAGAGCAGTAACTGCACCTCACAGTGAACCGCATCCTCCATAAGAGGAAACTACATGGGAGAAAGATAGGGAGAAGAGAAAAATAAGAGGAGAGGAAAAGGCAAAGAGTGCTATGCTTTAGCTGTTAGAATACTACTAGAATGGCCTTGATCCAAATGGTGACCCTACCAGGAGCTATATGCTCTTGATGTACTCTGTCCATTCTATCCAGTGACAGGCCCATGCCAGGTTAAGGCAGCATAGCATAAAGTGGGTGGCACAAAACAGAAACTAAATTATTAAGATTATGTTAAAAAGGGAGATATTCAAGAAAACAGCTTGTTTCAAAGTGTTTGAATCCCTTTATTTTAAATCAGTATCTAATTATAATGTTTTATACCCCAGCTTAAATACATTAGGAAAGATGCACACTTAATGCTGTATAGTACCCATCACTTAATCAAGACGATTATTACATTCAAATTATCAGAAACAAAATAAATACATACCTATCAATAGAAAAACCAATGTTTAGTAAACTCATCTCAGCTGCTTATAAAACTCAGACTGGCAAAAGTCTGATTCTTTCAGTGTCAGAATATTTTACTTGTAACTTCTCAAACTTGTTTTCATTTCGTACATTTATCTAAACTGGGGACTGTGGTTTATTTATCATTAAAAAATGTTACGGGGTTTGAATGAAATTTTTGACCTTCTAGTCTCCGCATTGTGAGATAGTGTTTTAAGAGCTCTTTATTCGCAGCAGAACAGTCCAAAAACAGTCTTCTAGCAGTATTGTAGATGAGTGAGTGTTCCTACGTGAATACCAGCTGATAGAAGATAGAAATGTAACTTCTGCATCCCATCTTTTAAGGTTTTCACATTAAATAATGTGTATAGTTGATTATGACAAAGTACTCAAGAGGTATTTATCCTCCTAAGGGGAGGAATGCCTTTATGGAAGACTTTCTAAGGGAAACTGGCTCATATAAACATTAAACCTGGAGAAAACCATGAAAATGCCTATGCAGCCAAATGCCTATGCAATGATTTGAACCTTGGACTGAACTATCAGTGTTCAGTGAATTTACTGCCTGGCTGCCGGTGGCCATTTCTACATTAAAAATCTTCCCTTTGGTACAGACACATTATGATCATACAGAATTATAAAAATGTTCATGAAATAATACATGTCATTACTGTATATAAACACTGTGTGACTTGAAAAGGCAATGGTAACTGTAGGCAGTAGGAAAAGAAAAGAAAACATTGATCATGCCTGTAATGATGAAGTAGGAGATGGAATAAACAGTGCACTAAAGTGCAATCTTTCTGCTGGCTAGAAACATGAGTTCCAAAATTGAAGAAATTACTAGAAGAAGGTTTTTGTCTTTAAATTTGTTCTGTGCTTAACTTTTTATACAAAGAAAAAACTTAAGCAAAAAGATTTTAACCTGAAATTAAAGAATAGAGTGTTAAATGATCTTAATATTCTTGGTAAGTTCAGCCAGAGAAAAATTGCATATGGAAAATGGGATTTTCCAAACAGCATTAAGTAATGTATTTAAACAAATGTCTCAAGTAAGCATTAAAAAGATGTAAATTCAAAATACACTGAAACTTTTTTTCTAGAATATAAAAGCTATGAAACTAAAAAGTGCTCTTATTTCTAAAGACCTTTTCACTATTAAAGCTGTGGAATTCATTTTTGTAACTGAAAGTGTATGATGAGTAGGAAAAGGCAGATCATCAGGTGGCTGACAAGTGGGTTTTATATTTACGTTTAAGGCATTTTACCTGGGCTGCTAAATGAATACAAGCAACATGAAATTTATAATAAAGACAGAACTGGAATGTGTTACAGAATATTACTAGAACATACATTAATATTTAAAAGTGAAACAGCAGCTGGTTTAAGAACCTGAAGGAACACGTTACAGTGTTATTAAGTATACATTCAACATTTAAGAAGATAGCAATGGTTATTAATAAAAAGAGAAAACTTCAATGTTTGAAAGAATTTCTTTTATCTCTACCATACCACAGCAACAAAATTTATGAATGAAAAATAGCATTTTTATCAATTTTACTTGAAATAGTACAGCAACTGAAAAATGAAAAAATAGCTTTAGTAATTAGATAAATGCAAAAGCACACACACATCTGACTTTTTTCTGAAAAACATTAGTATCTCTTCTTACAAACAGAACTTCTAACATTCAGTCTTTAGATCAGGGTATTAAGCATCTTTTGAATATTACTACATAAAAGAATTTAGAAAATGATGAAGAGAATTGCATTTTGAGAAACTGCAAGTACTTTGAAAGAGATAAGCAATCTGATAATCCTGCTATATACCACATACATTATATATAATATAAGAATCAGTTTCTTAATAGACATTTAAACACAGTTTTCAAAAATGTGGCTCTTATGTAGAACATGCTTCACAAGAATTTTAAATTACAGTTAATGTTTTAGACATCAGTGAAGGAAGTTTTAAAGATTCATTTTGAGAATATATGTCGATTCATGACAATACTGAAACAATGTGTATAAAACTGATTATGATATTATAGGATGTGCTAAAAGAACTGCAGAAAGTAACAGCAAAATGATGTAGAAAAAGGTGATGACATGCCATAATTCTTGAAAAGTGCTGATCAAAAAAAAGCTACCAGCAGTTTCATATGAAACTGAGAATACAAGTGAAAAACTGTTGATGAACTATAGAAAACAAACATGCATACAAAAAATGTTTGTAAAAGATAAAATTTCATTAAGACCATAATCGTAATTACAAAAATACCTTTATAAAAAATTTAAATTCCCAAAATTGCATAAATATTTTAATTTTATGATTAATTATTATTTTAAGATTAATTACAGAATTAGTTGTTAATTATTATTTTAATAGCTGAGTTTAAAACTGATATTACAGTTAACAACACAGAAATCATTCTCTATTTAACTCAGCTACTTAATACACTCAAATAGTTTTGGAACACAAATGATTTTAATAAGCCATGGGTGGGTACTGTATCTGCAAAAGTAAGGGGAAAGTTAAAAACCAATTACAAAGAATATTAATTTAAAAACAGGCATATTTAAGGTACATATTAAAAAATTGTGTGTGTTCCTAATTCATTAAATGAAAATTTTTTATATGAATTGGTAACAAAATCAAGAGTTGAATAAAAATATACAATAAAAGTTTTGTGGTACTTTTTCCACAGATGTGTGATTTGAATTTCTGCAATGCAAAAACCTTAAAATTATCTTATTACTTTCAAATACATAAGATAAAAACGTAATAGCTAATGTATGTATATTTTCAGTTATCATATATTTCTATGCATACGCCAAGAATTTTTTAAGCTTCTCCTACAGCTAAATTATGAGAGTCGACCTATGTATTGGATTCATTAATCTTGTAAAAGAATGTAGGTACGTTTTTCTTTAGCCAAGTGCATGATAAATCACCAAATATAGTACTTTTTTTTTTTATTTCTTTAGTTTATACTTCTTAAGTTATGAAAAAAAAATTAAATTAAATGTTATTTGTTTTATGAAAATAAGTTGTTTTATTTTCAAAATCATCTATATTGCTGGTCTACTACATCATCACCAAAATGAAAAAAAACTATTGTTGGTGAAATTTGTGATCGGTTAATGGAAAAGTACCAATATATACACCAGAATAACAACATATACTGTAAAAATAGAAAGAAATAATAATAAAATACCACATTACAATGGAAAAGAAAAATTACTTTAATCTTTTAAGTTACTTTCTGGGTATTTTGAATGCAACTTTTATGGAGGAGGGGGGGGGGTCACATAAATCGTTCAATGCTCATGCCAAAATCTGAATTCCTGAACAGTTCATAAAATTCACTTTCACTGAGAGAGATATTTGGATGTATATCATCACCACTTTCAATACTTTGCATACTTGAATTTATGTCCTGTTCATACATAAAATGGGATTTCCTGTATTGTCTTTTTCCTTTTCATCCCATGGTCAAAATCATGCCATTTCATTTACTGCCTTCCCCCAATCCCCTCATCAGTCATTCTTAATGACAAAATATTTCCTGTTTCATCTGATGCTCTTCCACATCCCTCTCATTAGCATCTCTACTGATGGAAGGCTGACTTTTTCCCAATTCATCCCCTTTTCATAAATTAGTTGAGAGGGTTATTTGTTGAAACAAGGAGCATTATGTTATAAATATCAATTGGTTTGCTACACTTAACAATTAATACACCAATTGCTAAGAAGTTATTTCAGAATGATGCACATGCATAAATGCAGTTCTACTTTCAATCACATGTGATTATTCTGAATTTGCCTCTTGATATTTTCATTCATCTTGATCTAAAAAGTGATCATGAGGTTTTTTAAACCTGAAATTACTGAAACCAGGCACGGACATCCAGTTGTAATATTTGAAGGAAGACAATATACACTAAAAAAATTTAAATTACAATAAATGCTGGTTTTGCCAAGAAATTCACTATATCAGAACTTTATTAAAAATTTTTGAAGATGATGTACCGCAGGAAGTAAATCATACCTGTATTCCTAACATAACTAAGATCAAGACAGGAAATATACCACAAAAAGCAGAAAAAATGTTTATGATGAAATTTCTACTACATTACTTCAATACACATTATGTTATTACAGTTTTTAAAGGTTACAAATCTAATTACACATAATACATTTCTAAAAAATACACATATGTGTGGTTTCACATCATATGAGTGGTAAAATTCAAAGTTCGTTGTTTTTAGATTCAAAGTATATATAATATTATATAAATTTATCATTCATTAATAGTATTATGATAGATAAGTATAGAATAATAGAAAAATATTTAATATCTATTGTAATTTTTTAATATTTGTCCCACATTTGTTGTATATTTGTTGTATCTTTTTATAATTTTTATCTTTACATCTTTGTTGAGTACACATGGCAATATATCAGTTATATGCAATGAAAAATATACAGAAAATGATTAAACTTATATAAAGCTGATTGTGGAAGAAAAATTGAAATGATATTGCTCTTAAATATCTCTTAGTATAAATGATTGATTTTTTTAAAATTAATGTTAGATTAATTCCATTATCTATTAAAACAAATTACATTGAATCATGTATTGACATCCATAAGAGGTTGTTTTCTGAAAGAGACCTGTATTTCTGAGAACATACAAACACTGGCAATGAACATACTTTTCTAGGATCACCATATCCAAAGAGCTCCAAAATTCTCTAAAACCTTAGTTGGTCACATTAAAAGAGAGCTCACCCTATTTTTTACAAAACTATGTTTTAATAATTACCCAAATTTACTTTCTTATTATATTAATTGGAATCTCAAATTCAAAAGTGTTATAAAATTTATGGTGCATGGTTGAAAATGGTTCCCTTTCTAAGAGATACATACCACATTTATAAGAGATACATACCACTCAGGCTATCATTAAAAGCATTAATCAGCATTAACAGCATGTATAAAAGTATGGAATAGTTAATTATTAAACATCAAATTTAAAATTGAGCTAAATAATTAAAGGCAGAAAATTTCACTGCCTTATTATTCTTATGCACCAATCAAGGAAGTAAAAATGTTCTTTTTGTTAAGTAAAAACTAATAAATGCAATAAATTAGTTTAAGAAAATTGCCCTTTCAACTAGGGTATTATTTGGAACCTTAAATAAGTTCCTTTAAATAAGTTTTAATCTACTTCCATATTGCAATTGGTTTTTGATTTAGTAACAAGAAAAACTTTAATAAATCTCTGGAATACTCACGAATGTAAACTGCCTCTGGTTCCTTTTCACAGACAAGAGAACAATTCTTGTCATTAACAATAATATGGTATGATGAATTTTCTCCTAAGTAATTATGAGATTTACTGAAAAACAAACATTAAAATACTTTTACTCAATTTATATATATATATATATATATTTGAAATATAACATGATAAAGTAGATTTCTTTACATCTTTTTATAATTTATGAATCAAAATAATTGCATATCACTCAAAAATTGCTTTGGCACATTTTTTACATTCCTAATAAATTCAACAATTTTTAACAACAGAACAATAGCAAAATATCACACTTATGTTAAAAAGCTCAGAATAAAAACCCAAATATTTTTAGAACTAAACCATTCACTTGCCACAATAAATAATAAATATGACCAATAGATGATAAAAGCTTGTTTCATTTCAATACAATATAATTAATCCTTAATAAGTCACAATTATGCTAATGTATACTTTAGATAAGGCAAACAAGATAATTACCTGCATATGGTTTTATTTTCCTCATCAACTACTTGCCACACAGTACCTAATGAAGCAAACTTCAATATTTTTTTCTGTGATTTAAAGGGTCCCAAAGGATTCAGCTGTAACAATGAACACTTCACAAAAAAAAAAAAAAAAAAAAAAAAAAAAAACATATATATATATATATAAACAATTTCTAAAAGTCTTTCACTAAGTTATCTTAAATTTTACTAAATTATCTTAAACTGTATTACCTTAAAACTTACTAAAATATAATCGCTCAAAGAAATAAAAGGACTTACATTATCACATTCCATACTCTGATATAAAAATCTGATCCCATAACTAACATTTGACTGCACAACTATACAAGATTCATCAATTCCCAAATTTCCACAAGATGACATATTTGACTTTTTAGATACTGAAGAACCTGCAAGTGGCTTTGGGAGATCCGGCTCAAAATAATATATGTTCACTGGGAGCTGTGTATCTGCACAGCACACGGTAACTGCTGTTCCTGAAATGAAATGCGATTACTTATAAATAAAAATTATTTCATATTATATATGTGATAAAAATTGCACAGAAATCTGTGCTTTAAAAGTTATACACATTTTGCGTATTTGTAGCACTGATTTCCAAGTCAGCATCAATTTTGCACAATGAGTTTCAGAGATACAGCATAGCCATTTTATAAGCTGATCAAACTGCATATAAATATGGTATGATGAAATAACCTAAAAGATATCTAAGGTAATTTGTTTTTTATAATAAAGTTTTTAAAATGAATAATTAATAATTTAGAATTTATATTTAAGCCAGAAGTTAGGAAATTCTAATTAAAGTGTAAAGCAATGTCAAATGGATGCGGCAAGGTTAGGAGAGCACTGGTAATTTGAATCTGATAAGTAAGACATAAATTCTATGAACGTAAGATTAAAGAGATACAATAAGCATAGCAGATACAATAAGTGAAAATTAACATAAGCCGCAAAGGCATTATAATAAATATTACATAATATATACATTCATTTGGGTCATGGGCGTGTCCATATTTGCTAGGTCATTGTAGTCATAATAGAAATCTTAATGACTGGGTTGTTACTTGTTTTTTGTCTTTAATGAAAGCTTTTTAGCAAGTTTATAATAATGCGAACGTAGTTGCTCCACACCCAGTTCTTCATGAATTCTATTGTTGCGGATATACCACTCCGCTTTAACTATATTTGCCTAAGAACAGAATTTTGGCAAGTCCGTAACTTTTTCCTATTACATTTTTTGGTATAGGCCGAAACTAGACTAGCATACCATAGTAATGGATGGAGAACGCACTTATAAAGGAGTAACTTGTCGTCAATATATAAAACACTGTTTCGAGTAATTAAAGGGTATAGTTTAGCTTTACGAACTCGAAACTTTTGGATAATAGATGCAATGTGTGGGGCCCATGTAAGAGTTTTGTTGAGGATCACCCCAAGATAAGGGACCTGCTTGGCCCAGGGAATAGCGGTGCCATTAAAAATGAGATTTTTCTTGAATTTGCTTTTTTTAATGGCCAGTGTTTTATCTACATTGACTTGAATTTTCCATTTTATAAGTCAAATCTCTAATGTCGAGACACTGATACAGAGGTACCTTTTAAAATAACAATAAATTAGTACATCTGGAATCTAATGGCTAGAGATGAGGCCCAGGAGAAACACAATGAATAAATTCCTCGCTTCTACAAAGACAAAACCTTTCAAACTGATTGACCCAAAGCACGCATATCTGTCTTTTTACCAAGCAATGGATGCTTCACAGTGGTTCTTGCATTTTGACAAAAATATCATAGCCACATGGATTCATATCGGTAACAATGCTGGATGTTTCAATACATTCCATTGTCACTATTGCAGATGTATCACAGCAGAGATGGGCAAAACAAACAATAACCTTATGAACGAAGGTTGAACCAAGGAGTGAGCGAAAAGCGGAAAGAATAGTGCGAGTAGTGGGATCGGGGCCGATTAACGAAGTTGGAGAGAAGAGAGAAAATAATTGAACCATGAGTGGTATCGAAAGAATTGACTGAATCAAACCCTAACTTCTGGGATTGATTTCTTTCAACTGTAGTTTTGTACAACTTGAAATTCCCTACAACCATCTTTCCATACAAAACTAACAATAAAGTTCTGGAACAAAAAATTTTCAGAAATTTACGAAATGATAAAAATTAAAATCACTTTTAACATAGGAAGATAAACATTCTTTTCTTTCTTAAAATGAAAACTAAGCTTTTCTGGCACACTTTCAACCAAAGAAATTTTTTGCTTCCAACAAAGATGCTCATTCGCTTGCTCAGTGACATGAATCAGTTCGCGAACAATTAGCAGATTTCTATTGCTGGCATGTTTTCAACAAGAGCTACCCGTGAACTGTTAAAGACATTACAATTCCATATTCTGGAATTGGAATAAATTCATTTAATAAAGTGAATCGGTTCTTTGAATCAGTTCTGGAGCGGATCATCCAGTCCTACACCACAGAGTTCGCGGTATGACACTACAAATTGTCGTGGAAGAATGACAGAATTCAGGAAGCCCAGATGGGAAAGTGGTTAGTGATTCTGATTGCCTCAAAGGGCCCGCGTTTGAATGCCAGAGAAGATATGGATGTCATTTGTCTGTCCCTTCATAGGAGGCGATGGTGGCCGACCTATAAAGTGCCTCCATAATAAAAAGACCACCACTTCTGGCCTTAGTGGTGGCCAACACCTATAAATGGCTAGAGCCAAAGCCCCCTGAAGATAACATCTATCTTCAGAGGGCATCTCATTGGGGGGATGATGGGATTCATCCAAGGCCAACTAGATTCATCACAAGTGTCGTTGCTTTCTCCAGAGTGCTGGTAGCAGGTGATGTCTCAGGTGACAAATGCCAACACCCTCTTAAACACCTCTGTTTCAGAAGGTGTTGCAAATACAAGGTAAATGGGAGCGTTACCACGGATCTCCTGTGATGGTGGAGATGGGAGGTACTGGAACATGTGCTACACTCACTCCATATGAGTCAGTGTGAATATGATCTCTTCATCAAAATGAAAGCAATACTGTGAGGTGCCCATTACTACAATAATGAGGAAGTTATCAAGGTTTTAGAGAGGTCGTTGGGAAAGGCATCAACAGAAGTGCTGATGGTGAATGACATTCGCAGAAGGTGGCAGGAAGTGGGACATTCTACGAATCTGTACCTAAGGTAATAAAGCTGTTTTAAAAATATCGAAGAGTTGATACAACTTTTTAAGTTAAAGCAAACTAAAATTCAAATCACACACGATATCTCAACACACGGAACTTTTTTTTTTCTTTCTTACTACATACCTGCCAACCTCTAAAGATAAAATTTCAGAAGATATCTCCCCCAAATTCAGAAGATTTCTCCAAAATTCAGAAGAACTTGAAGAATTAATATCATGCTTTGATATTAAAAAAATACAATTTGTACAAATAAAAAAGAAAATGTACTTGCATTAGTAAATCTCAATTAAGTAGTAACTCAAAATTATTAGGAAACATAAAACAAGAACTTAATGTTACACAAAAAAATTATTGCAATGAATTTAGAGTGCATTTTTTGGCTTTAGCCAAAAATTCTTTGGAAAATTTCCTGTCATAACAATTAGTTTTCCTCATAACATTTAGCAATTAAATGTTTTCTAGATTTTTTGGTGAAATTGAAGAACGAAACATAGTTTTGTTTTCTTCACACACTGAAGACTCTCTCGCCTCAGCATTACTGTGTGGAATTACAGCTGCAGCTTTTTCTGCTGCCAATTAATTAAGTGGCATGGGCCTCCAATAACAATTAATTCATTTTGTTCTTTTTTGAAGAAGAGGCTACACCCTTTTTGTCACCCACCATGATATGAGCATTATCTGCACCAAATGAAATGCAGTTTGATATTGGGATGTTAAGTCGTTTCAACTCATTAATTACCAAGGAGGCAATATTTCCCCGTAGCGTCTCCATTTACAATAGAAGACGCAAAGATGAGTTTTCATTTCATTAGAACATCACAGAATATGTGACAAACGATGGGGAAAGCTTCCGATCGCTGTCGTTTGTGCCATCGTGACACCGAAAATGCTGAATTCTGGAGTGCAGCTTCGTTTTACTTTGTGATCGCAAGCAATTTCGTTCACAATAGAAGATTTTTCGTGCGAGCACAAGCATATTTCTGAGCTATCTTGGAGTCGGGAAACATCCGTCTGAAAAGTTGACCGGCGTGATCGGCAGCGCTTAGCGGCACGTTGTCTTCGATGAGGAATGCAGTAAACAAACACTCTGCCAAAATGACATCGGCATCCGAATTCGTAGCCGAAATTGAAAAGAAAAAATCATCCACTTTCTTTGACGTTGTCGAAGCAGAAGCATTAACTTCTAGCTTTTTAGACATAACATGCTTCACAATGTCGCTTCTTCCACCGTGACTTATTACGAAGTCACACACACTCACGTTGCAAAATGCATAGTTATTTCCTTTGAAGGATTCTTTAATTGTTGGAAATTCGGCTTTGTAGGCAGGTCGAAAATATTGAGAATACAGTTTTTTTTAACTCATTTCGTAACAATGACGTATTAAGAAAATTCGTAGCACGTGCAAACAAAAAAACAAAACAGAATGCGACAATCCACGCTCGCTGAGTAATTTCCTTGCTGCTGAAGCGAACGCGAAAAAAATCAAGAAATACAAAATTTATATGCTTAGATTATTCTCCCTTCAAATAAATTACTCACTGAAATGCTAATACACTGTTCTCTACTCCCCAGAGTTTTGAAACCAGACTTTACAGAAACTCAGTTAGGTGGTCAGTAGGTTAATGTATTCAAGTAATCGTGTCAAAATATTGAAAATATTCAAATTTAAAAACATGTGCATTTTCAGTTAGATTTTTAATAAACTATAGGCAAAGAATAAGCATATATTATTTAATTTCACTAAGAAATTATATTTCAAAACCAAAATGAAGGTAAATTAAAAAAATCTGAAAGGGTCCAGATTTTAGCGATTGCCCCAAAAGGCTCTTTTGAAGTTTAGTATGGCTTATCAGTGGAGATTATTGAGAGATGGCCCAGGTGGAATAGCGAAACATTTTATATGATATTAGATGAATATGTATTTAGACCAACAAGGGAACGTTACACATCTTCCGTATATTTAAAAAAGTGGAAAAATGTAATATAATTAAATTTTAATTAGATACACCCCGAATTAAATGCACTTTTATTTAAATCAAACATATGGGGAAAAAAAAAAAAAAGTCTCCAAATAGCAAAAAACTCGAATAAAAAGTGAAACAACGCAAAACCGTGTTTCGCGACCACTTTTGAGCTAAAAAAAAGGGGGCAGGGTTCTTGACGTATTTTTAATAACTTTTTAGGTTTGATATAAAAATTCTTCTTAGAAACTAAGACGAATTTTCCTTAATATTTTTATGTATTAATTTGTATGATTACCTTTTGCAATAATAAT